ACTACCACTACCACTACCACTACCACTACCACTACTACTACTACTACTCCTGCTACTACTGCTGCTGCTGCTGCTACTTCCACATCGTTAATAGTAGTGCTACTACTTTTGACGGTAGGCATTCTATTTAGACTCCCTCGATTGTTTGCTAGGGGGATGGGGACGGTTTATACTATTCAAGATCCAACATTACAGGCACCCATCCTTTGAAAACTCCTCGACACTCCAGCCTTGACTGTATTGAGTGGGTAGTGCCCCCCAAAAATGCCCAGAATTTGAAGATAACTGGGTTTGTGAGGATGTTTGTGAAACGCCCTTGAAGCGTTTGAAGGCGGGGGAGACGGGCATTTTGCGGTTCGTTTGGATACAGACCACTGCAGCACCGACCGGGTCAAGCCCTGACACCCCGCACGCAATTGGCTGCTGAAAGTGGCTTAGAAGCTACCCTCTTTGCAATCCTACACCGCAAGTCTGACACGGCCAGGATTGCATGGCAATGGCCATTTACAATCCTGATGGCATGGCAATGGCAGGAGCTCTACTCTCCTGTAGATCGCTGTAGAGGATACTTGCAGGCCCACTGCGAGACTATGACCCTGCCCATGTCACCGTCGAACTGGCCAGGAGCTGATAAGGCTCCCCCTGCGGAGGTTTCAGCCTTGGAGTTCGAGGCGACGATGTTTCTTTCAGACGAGCTGGACCCCCCGGATGGGCATGCTAGTCACTTCCTCCATAAATGCCGAGTTGGTCGACTCAGTCGAAAATCTTGAGTTTTTATGCATTTGATGCCTCCATCAGTTCCCGGGTCTTTGGAAGAACCTGCTTTGAGGAACTTGTCGACACTAGTGACACCACACAGTCTTGAAAGCAATGATGATTGGTGAAGATGTGTCTTGTTTTGAGTCTTGTCTCCTGAGTTTGCCTGTGTGACGATGCAGCTATATAATCCTCACACAAAATGGAGCCGTTTGCATCAATTTTCCTCCGGTTTCCAATCGCAAGGTATCCGGTTTGGTCCATGGCTGGTCCATATGGCTGCACCATGCTGAACCAGCGGGAGAAATCTTTTTCGCGCTCTGAGTGAAACGGTAGCAGGCCGATCAAGTGCGTGCCAAAGCTGCCACCTCCGGCAGCGCAGGGAAGCCCAAGAACAGACTCGAGCCTATTTGTGACAACGCTGAGTGAATTTGAGCGCGAGGGGGTCGAAGATATGTTCGATTGGCAGGAAACATGCGCGAGCACATCATTTCCCAGTTTTACTATTCTTATTCAATGCATCAATAATGCATGTGCATTAATGTCTAGGTATAATTTGGTTTACATATAGATTGGATCACCCAAGCAACCTTCCATGATTGTCCACGAATTGGAGCAAAGGTCAGTTGGACAATTTTACTTATCGTTTTGGGGTTGTAGTTCAAGAGTTGGACAACCCCAGACAACCCTGATGCAGGCCTCAGAAGAGAAGACCGCAGGAACATGTTGATTCGATGATATTCGATGCTGCTGGTCACCTGTGGGTATGCGTGATGAGGGGTCGATGCCTCGGCCCTCGGTTGGTGCCACAGGTGCCTTTCGAAGATTGGTCCGTCTTTGCCGCGCGCTCGGGCACCCAAGAAACGGGCGTACGGAGGAGTTACATACTAGCTGCAAGGCCCGGCAAGGCTCCCAAGACTCAACCAATGGTAATGGTATGATGGTATGCGTGCCTTCATGGCAAGGGTATGGCTTCTATACTTGTACCTCAAGCTTCAGAACGGTGCTTGAGGGACGTGACGACATGATTTTTCTCACTTGTACAAGTGGGCCCCACTGATCAGACATGACAAGTTCGGAGGCAACACAGGGCGTGTTGTCCGAGCATTGATTCGTGCAAGTTTCTGCGAGTGCCAAATTGGTTCTCTATATTTCTCTATATCTTGTTCAAATGCATTTGGGAAGCATTATGGCTTTACTTACGGCTTTCCCCTATATGGCATACATGGAGTGTCTGGGATTTAACTCTTACTTTTCCATCCTCTTATTGGCGATGGATTTGCGATGGAGCAGAAACGCTGACTTCTTCTTCGGATGGATTTATGCGGCTCCAGTAGGTGGAGAGTGGCCCAGGATGGTGGATTTGCGCTGCAAAGGCGGACATTTGTTGCCACAACATTGACGTAGAACATTTGGGAAGAAGTGCAAGGGGAAAGGATATGAAAGGATCATAGGCTATAGGGAAGTGAACGGCAGGAAACGGAAAAGGACAATGGAAATTTAAGTTCAGAGGAAGAGACAAGGAGAGTAAGGAAAAGGAGCTAGACAAAGGGAGAGTCCAAAGTGAAAGGGACATGTCGTCGGGACTCTCTTGCATACATTCCTTCCTATTTGGCAAATCCTAGTTGGAGGCCATCGCTATTGGGTTGGAGGTCATCGCTGTTAGCTTGGAGGCCATCACTATTAGGTCGGAGGCCATTGCTATCAGGTTGGAGGCCATCGCTCCTAGATTGGAGGCCATTCTTATTAGGTTGGAGGCCATTGCTATTAGGTTGGAATTCCTTTGTTTTATGTTCCAATCCTATTTGCCGAATGATGCTTGAAAGGACGGGAACGCTTTTGTTCTGCTTTCTTGTCACTTCAATGATGGTGTGGTGTGAAAGATGGACAGAATGTCCTCTTTTTGCACAATGTTGTTTTGAAGGTGGATTCCATACATGTAATGCTTCTTGGGTGCAACCCTTAGCCAGATACATGGTGAATAGAATCTAGGTACCATAGCATGTGCACAACATGCTTGCAGAGCCAATTTCGCCAATGTCCAGCTTTGTGAGCTGAAGCCGGGCCTCGGTGCACCAAAGTGTCTCGTTTGCGTGCAGCTAGGCATGAAGAAATCGTTGCAAGACCTGAAGATAGAGCCCGAGCCTCGGATTTCAGCCCTACCCATTGTTACACTACCCCCATTGTTATATGCTTGAAGAAGGCGGATCAGAGTGTCTCGTTGGCAACTCTGGCACTGAAAATGCGCCTGCACGCCACTGAGGATCACTGAGTGGATCGTTCCTGAGGTCGACAGCAAGGTAGGGAGATGGTCTTGTTCTTTTGGCGCCTGAGTGCGGGCGATTGAGTGCTGAAGGTTTTTTCTCGATCAACAATGGTTTTCCCTGGGGTTGAAGGTGATGTTCACCTGGTGCGTTCTTGGGTTGTCATGATGCTCCAATATGCTCCCCAAAGTTCCTTTACGGTGGTCCTCAAGATGTCCTTTAGATGGGCGTTTTAATAAATCACCGACATTGGGGATGTTTCCATCTGAAACCCATTCCTGGATTGAAATGCGTTCTTGCCCTCACCTCCATCAGCGCGATCTGTTTTGGGCATTGCTACCACCAAGCTATGTCAGGAGCCGAAGTGACTTTTGTAGCCAACTGAGCTGCAAGAACGCGAGCCAACTGAGCTGCAAAAGGAGAGGCAATGATCGGGCAGTTGGGTGAGACCTTGTCATCCTTTGTCATGGGATTTGTCGAATGTTTATCTTACAATGACAATATCACTCACATTTTTTGGTTCTTGACTGACCTGAGTTGCTTCAGTTAAGTTTTGCTCACCAACTTGTTTGGCGTTCATGCACATACCTCCCATACGTTGCGTGATGTTGCGTACAAAGCTTCAAGCAGGCACTTGCAGTAGTCAGCATTGAACGGACACGATTGATTTCATCCCACAAGTTCACAAGTCTAATCGTTCTGATATCGTATGTGTAATGTAGTGTGTGTCCCAGCAGCATGAAGACGTCCTTGACAACCCTGGGCTTTTGACATGCATTTGTTGAAGAGAACATCCAGACTTTCACTCACTAAATTATGCATGTCTAAGACAGCCCCTTGTTTCCTGACTTCTTTTGCCAAGTTGCCTCCCCCGTCCACATGCCGCAAACCTCAAGGCTGGAGCAACCAGAGCAAGGTTGTAAGCGGAACACGCCATGGTGAATCAACAAACCGGGACATGTGGCCAGTGTGGCTGCTGGCGTCCGTTTGGTTCCTCCACACGCTGGCGTCCGGTGGTTCAGCACACAGACAGCCACATGTTCCCTCACGTTCCCTTCGTTTCGAGTAGCTTCTTGCTCCTAGTAGTAAGGCCAGGAGCCCCGTTCGTAGCATCCTTGCTCCTAGTAGCGATGCCAGGAGCCCCGAACGTAGCTTCTTGTTCCTAGTAGCTTCTTGTTACTACTAGTAAGGCACCTGTTACTACTAGCGTGGCACTTGTTCCTAGTAGCTTCTTGTTCCCTTTGTTGAGGATGGCTAAGCTGGTCCATGTCTCTCACGTCCAGGTTGCGTGGGCACCGCTTCGTCGCCGCGGTGCCTCGCTCGGGTGGAGGGACGCGAGGATGGTGCTTTGTTCGTGTCTCCCTTTGGTGCTCTGGGTCGATCATGGTAGACCCTTCCGAAAACATGAGCAATGCTGTCCTATTGTTATAGTTTATCCATGTTCTATTTGCTCCAGGATTGCTCCAGGATGCCTTTGATTCAATCGACTCACCATTGCTTAGTGCCCAGGCTCGGGTGCTTAGGCTTTGATGCTGTTTCTTGAGGCAGGCCAATTCGGAACGAAGCGGTTGGGTTCCACCAGCTCGGCTCGCTTCGACACCTTCACCCTTCGGTTCTTCCAAGAGATCTGCCGCTGGTGACAGCCAAGAGGACCAACCAAGGGTGCAGCATGGAACGAGACTAGATAACTCCAGAAGCGCCCCTGGTGAAGACTGCCTAAAGGATCTGCCATTTTCCCTGAGCCCAATCTTGGCATTGTTTTTAATGTTCAGCATGTATCAAGCTATCTTTGAGGGATGCCAAATGAGGAATGTGGCCAGAAGGGCCCTGCACATGTTGTGCGACATATCGTTTGTTGCGAACGAACGGATAGTGTTTGGTTCTTTGCCACGTGCTCCGTCGACCATCTCCACACGACAGCTCCCACTGCAATTGGATCCCTGGTGAAAGAGCTTGCTCGGACGGCCACAAGTCACCAAAGAGTGCTCCCAAGGCGGGAGCACAAGTCACAAGTCTTAACTTAGGACCTCTAGTTGTAGGCCGGAAGTGCTGTTCCTCTGGTCCGGCCAGACGACCTGAGGTGTTGGCCTGGGTGCTTCTCAGATTTCATGCGCCTTGTCGGTAAGCCTATGCGCTGTGACCTAGCTAGCTGTGACTGGCCCTGCGGATCCCTGCAGCCTTCACTCCACGGGAAAAACATGCCCCGGGTTGAGAATTCCCGGTCACCCAAACGCCAGTTCGGAAGGCGCACGGTGTGCAGTTGGAGGCCGCGGTGCCCAGAGTCTGAGGTTGTCTTTGTGGGGACTCCTCCTCACCGACAAAACGCGCGGGAGCCCAAATGCAAAAAGCCAAGTACTCAGAGTCACACGGTTTTTGACCGTGATTTTCGGGCCGTGTTCGACGCATGCGAACATAGAAGCTGAAGTGAACATAGCTGGAACAAGCTGTCTTATGCGCACAGGGGGATTGTGAGGACTATCAGACTATCACCACCACTTCGGTTGCAGTTGCTGCGGCATATGAAGTGTCTTCTAAATTTATGACAAGAAAACGGTTGCACAGTTGCAGTCATGTGCGGGCATGCTCCAAACCCTGGTGAACTATAGGGAACTCACAAAGAAGCGACGGCGACACCCTTTAATAGAGCACGGTTCAAAAACATGGGAAGACAATAGGGGACTCACAAATTTGAGGATGCAACAGCTGCGCATCATAAATCTTTGACTGTATCGTACTGTACCTCATATGTTGTTCATTTATGGACTAGGAGAAGGGCAAGTAATGCCACAGCGCTACAGAAAAGGTCGAATGGCCTAGAGCTCAGCGGCTGCCGGTAGCCTATTTGGTGGACCCCTTTTGACTTCAATGAACGGCCCATAATCTGGGCTGTGAGTTGTTGTTTGGGACCCTGCTTGGTCTACGGCAAAGCGGCCGCACTCTCTTCTCTGTCAGGATCAGGGAGAGGAGGGCCGGGTGCAATCAATGTCCTATTCTATGGCATGCATGAGCCACGGAAATTTGATGAAATTAGAATTAAGATGGATTTACGGTGATTTACGATTTATGATTTACGGCTGGTGATGAAAGCACCCCTGGCGGCCCCAACGGCTGACTCAAGGGGTCGAGCTTGAAGATCCCTTGAGAACGAACAGCTTCGACCAACAGCTGAAGGCCCTCCTTCGGCACCACACGAGGCCCTCCGCGGGCGCCAGAGGCGCAATGCCTTGCCTGAGCTTTTGACGTTGGTGCAGACCTCAGAGCGAGAGAGACCTTTTCATGGCAAAGAATGCACAGAAAACACAAACGTCATCGAGTCACCGTCATCAATCCGATGGGCTGGTGCAACCAGGGATAGTGCCGGATGGTGCTTTGTTTCGTCCAAAGTCACGAAGATCAGGTACCTGTGTTGGCCAAGAGAAAAAGAACATGTCAGATTACCGGAAGTAGTTTGATGGATTTTGATGGTTATATTCCTGAGGAGCCTGGAAGTAGTCCGATGGTTATTATTCATCTAAACACATACACACCATCCAATCGCACCAATGCACGTTTGATTTGCCCGCTGTACTCAGTTACTATATACCGTCAGAATGAGTGTTTGTTCTCTAATATACCACAATAATGCCACAATATCCATGACAGCGGTTCTTCTATTGGCCATGCATCGGGCACGGCGCCGTCAGAGGGTTAGACCAAACCTGTGGCACCTGGGATGCTTGGAGAGGGGCAATTTTGCCGAACGAAGCATAGCTACTAGCAATTTCAATAATGTAGACCTGTGATTAATAAACCCCCCTAGAATAATGTATTTCTTTTTCCTGCACTGATTAATAAAGACCCCCAGAATAATGTCTTTTTTTTGGCCGGGATAGTTGTAGTGGAATATGTTTTATTGTTATAGTTTACTTTTTCCCTTTTGAGTTTGCTGGGGTTTCAAGCTTAAAACATATTTTGCTTTAAGTAAACTTGTATTCATTCCCTTTCTTTTCCTTTTGATTTGCTTTACTTACCTAAGCTCTTTAGTCTTTAAGCTTTCCAAAAGTTTCCAAAAGTCAGTGCACACTTTCTTTACAAAATCCCTTATTCAAACATATTGAAAAATATAAAATCATTCAAGCAAAGGGGGTAGTCCAGCAAGCAGCTTTCTGACATTATTTAGGGGGGGCCTAGAATAATGTCTAGAGATTTCAAGCTCATATTTTGCTTTAAGTAAACTTGTATTCATTCCCTTTCTGTTCCTTTTGATTTGCTTTACTTACCTAAGCTCTTTAGTCTTTAAGCTTTCCAAAAGTTTCCAACAGTCAGTGCACACTTTCTTGACAAAATCCCTTATTCAAAAATATTGAAAAACACAAAAATCATTCAAGCAAATGGGGGTAGTCCAGCAAGCAGCTTTCTTATTGAAAAACACAAAAATCATTCAAGCAAAGGGGGTAGTCCAGCAAGCAGCTTTCTGACATTATTTAGGGGGGTCCCTAGAATAATGTCTAGAGATTTCAAGCTTAAAACACATGTTGCTTTAAGTAAATTTGTATGCATTCCCTTTCTTTTCCTTTTACTTTGCTTTACTTACCTAAGCTCTTGAAAAGTTGAAGATTTCCATTGAGATTGGATGCTTTTGAAGGTCTTTGGATTGAGATGTCCATAAAATATATTGAGAATTCCATTTCCACTTTATTGATGTCCTTTTCCTTTAGTATTCCAAATGTCTTCAATTTGAGATTTCATTGATTCCTTTTTATTGTTAATATTGCCAGAGAAGACCAAGAAGATTTTAATACGGATTCGTTTCATTTTGGTCCTTTGATTAGTTTTCTGGGTTGATTAATCAAGAGTCTACATTAAAGGGGTACCTATGTGAGGGTAAGGGTTCCCATTATCCACTCACATTGGGTCCAAAAGAAGCTCCTGGAGAATCCTCGAGGAACTGGTGGTGAGCAAGCTATAGCAGGCTAAGATCCGGAGTTCTGCGTTCCGTTTTCTTGCTGCAAAGCTTCGCACGCTTTGCATGAACTTGTCCGTCGAAACTACTGCTTTCACCCTGTTCACAGATAGTATCTTGCGCACGACACGGAATCGCACGTGCTGCCACGGGTCGACCGATAAAAGAGGGTCGGCCAGCAGCCTCTCTCAGATGGTTGAATTCCGCTTCTTTATATCTCAAGGCTGAGGGTTCATCGGCTGAGAAGGAGGGTGGATCACATACAAATCAAGATAATCAAATAGCTGCCAAACCACCACTTCTTTTGGTTGCACGTTGTTTCGTGAGACATTCTTAATTCTTGCTGAATGCGTTCCAGTCAGCTTTGCTATTCAACATCCACTCATATCCTCCGATCTACCGGCTTTCTGACGTGTTCTGCTTCGTGGGCATGGCAGCCTTCGCGGCCTTGCTGCTGCTGTGCGCGCATGCCCAGCTGCAGGATGCCGTGCGGAGAAACGATGCAGCCACGGTGAGGCAATGGCTGGAAAGCCAAGGTGGGGGAGAGAGCGCTTGGCAGGGACGGTTGGATATAGAGAGGACATCGATGTCCATCGATGTCAAGGGTCGTCGTGCGAAGGAAGATCTTGTTGTTTTTCTCCTCCAGATCGAAGGGCCTCCTCTCCCTTTACAGGAAGCCCTGGAACCCTGTACCAAAATACATCAAAATACAGATTCTTGGATATTCTTTGATTGTAAACACTTCATGATTTGAAAGGTAATGTGGCTGTGCCATGCGGTTTTGCGCGGCCTCGGTGGAACATGCGTTTGTGCGGCTCTGTGCCATCGGGGAATGGTGCACATGAGTGTATGCAGCCTGTCGCTAGTGATGGGCGTAGTTTAGTAGTTTTTAATGAAGTTAATAAACTAAACACACATACTGGATGGAGGGGTCTCTGACATGTCCAACATGAGTTCTTTTTAATTCCAGTATTGTCAGGTGTTGAAGGTTGCCGTCAGTCAGCAGAGCGTGTACAGTGACTTTGCCGGTGACTCACTGTTTGCCGCTCTCTGAGATCCTCGCAGAGGCATCAACATGTCTCAACTTTGGCTAATGGGCTCCATGCTGTTGAAGCACCCTCCTGATGATATGAATGCTTTTGTTGAGCACCAGAGGCATGGAGCTCCGGTGGTCATGGAATGAGCTGGATTTGAAATGCGTCGTGAAACCACGTCGCACCTCTTTTGCATCCCACCCCGCGGCCGGGCCGATTAGGATACTGTAAGGGAAGATGATAAAGGCCACCAGAGGACTCCCCACCCCCTTGAAAAACCGGGGAGATTCTCCCAACTCCCCAAATATGAGCCACGTTCTCTGGCCTTTTGTTTGGGGGGGGGGCCTCCTGATTTTGGTGGTATTTGGTGCCGTGATGATGTATTGCTATGTGTTATTTAGTTGGTGGTTTGAAACTGCATCATGGAAATACTTGTCGGTGGCCTTCCTGGAAGGTGTGGAGGACGAGGGCGGCTACTCCTATGATGCCTCGGATGGTTGGGGCCGTAGCCCATTACATGAAGCAGTGGAGCTCGGGCACCTAAAAGTGGTGGAGACTTGGCATGACTTGGTGTGGCGAGACTGCACGGTACCCATCATAGAGCTAGGCTGGGATTGGAACAAGATATGCTACATTTTTGCATGAGGATGGAAGCCTGTTCTCAAAGCATTTGTCTACAAAGAATGTTTTATGGTCTTGAAGATGTAGACCGGGGTTTACATATGTCTTTCGAGCCAGATCCAGCATCCTGCCTTAAAGCTCCCAAGAAGCACCGCAAAGCGCTCAACTCACTATGGCTCAGATGATCTTCCAATCGATCACTAAGCGACCACTGCTTAGTGAACGCAAATCCTCAGGAGGCAATTTTATCCTGGAATGGCTCCGCACAGTTGGTGTCCGCCCCGGATGAACTGGGCTGGACTCCACTGCATTGGGCTGCACTCAAAGGACGCGGGGAGAAGTACTGTCAAAGCACATGTTGAAGCCCCACCTTGGCAGGTTCTTTTTTGGCCCGTGTTGGGCTTCTCGACAGCCAGGTGAGCGGATTTGATGAGATAGGTCGAGGGGGCATTGAGCTACGTTAGAGGTGGTAGGCCTTGGTTGTGAAGCAGGATGTGAGCATGGATGTCATGAGCTAACAAGAGCAAAAGGTGTTGTGAAAGTTAATTGAAGAAGGAGGTCAATGTGCAGTACAACCATGGGATGCAGGATTAAGTGAAATTCAACAAGAAAGAAAGGTGGTTTGTATTGCAAGATTTGGCCAAAGGTGGACCAGACTAGCGGGGTGGAGGTTGTGGAGGTTTAGGGTGCTCACTTATTGGCCGAACGGATCCGGAAGGCTTTTTGAGCGGCAAGACGTCTTGCAGAAGACAGTCGGACCATACCAAGTTGTGGGGTTCCTTGATGGCTTTGCGTTCGGTCGCTCGTAGCGGCCTCCAACCAACTAGCGCTGATATGCAGGTTGGGAGTTGGGCGGAAAGACGTCCGCTGTCACAGGCCCTTTGCCGCGCAGGGCCAGTCGCGGACGGAAGAAACGAAAGCATGCGTGCACGAACCAAAAAGATACGCGGGTGGCTCCACACCAATGGCGTATGCCTTTGTCAGACATAGTCAGGCAGCCAAGACATCCAGGTGAAGCATGGTGAAGCGCGTCGAATAGGTTGGAATCATGCCAGTGCAACGACCGATTTGTGTTTTGGGGAACGTTCGTAACGGTCTTGCTTGGAGGTCACCTATAATCCACGAGGGTTTGGACAATTTGGTTCCCTCAACAGGGAAGACATGCTCAGGTTTTGACCCTTCAAGGCCATGTAGGGCTGATGCGCCAGTGTTTGATGATTGCGCGTCAACGCCTTTCGCCGTCCGCCGTCGCAGGATCTCGGGAGATTGCCAAGAGTTTGATCGAGGCCAAGGCTTCGGTCAACGCCAGGGAGAATGAATTTCACTGCGAGCCATTGCAGTGGGCTGCCCGCCGAGGCTGGGACACAGGAACGGCTGGGACTCTTTGATCAGTCCCGAAGGTGAGGCGGTGGTTTGGTACCATTCGAGTACTATGAAAAATCGTATGACATTCACATGGACTTGATCCGACTGGTTCTTGAAAAGGCTTCACGGGTACAGGGTCTTCACCGGATGAGCGACCCTCAATGTTCACGGTAAACCCTTAACTCCAGACAAAAATGACCTGAAACCGATTGAATTGAACCAGCACTATGGAGGGTATGATTTTTCTGGAATGGAGATGACAGAGCCCGATTATTTTGGAATGGAGATGAGGGAAAATCGGCATTCTCGGAGAGATATTGTTGTGAATCAAGACGAAGGAAACTGAAAGGATATTAGTATTCGGAATAAAGGAAAAGATCCAGAGGTTTAAGATTCACTGTCGAAGGTATTTAAGGTTTGGTGATTTCATGGGGGGTATATACACCCTTTGTATATAGATTGACTGTTGGCAAACGTTGATAGCTTTGGAATAAGGGATGTCATAACCGTATGTCATAGAGTCATAGTCATACCCAACAGTTGACTAGGATTGTGAGCCCAGCCCTTTGTCATTTACAACCCACGTTGGAAAGCCCGCCACTCAAGCATGGATGTTGGAACTCAGCATGCAGTGTTAATCATGCACATGTTCGTCAGAACATACTCCCTGAAGTACTCATGAAAGTGGAAGGTTGGTAGAGTCTGGTCACCTACGAGGCGCACTTTCCATGACGGAGAATTGAGAAGCCAGAAACTCACTCACACATCCAATATCATTTATATATATATATATAATAGGAGGCCTTCATGAAGCTGGGCCTTCTCAAGCCGTGAGGCCACGTGGAGCTTTTACGGCTCTTGCTCTCGGCCGGCGCCAATGCCTCCTATCAGGCGCCCCCCCCCGGTTTTGGTTCTCAACAGGTTGGAGGCCATGGCTCTTGGTTTGGGTTTTCCAGACGTCCCAGACGTCGTGTTCAGATGTGACACACCGAGTCGCCCGGTGAACCGGGCGCGGGAGGAGACCCATTCAACCGCCCGGTTCACCCCGGAAGTCAGACACTTCGGGGACGCACGAGGTTTCTGCACTGATGGTGGCTTCCAATAGTGAGACCGGAAGGCGGCTAGGCATAGACTGACCACCACTGATAGGATTTGATGGGTCACATCAACCTCAGATATTGGATTCCCAGTGCGGTAGCGGCAGAGAAGAACCACCGTCGCTCAGACGGCTCAGCCTTTTTGTCTCCAAACAATCCGAGTACTCTGTGAGGAGGAGTTTCTTTTGCATACCCATTGAAGATCCAGGTTTCGGGATTTTTCCATGAGAAGCAACAGTCATGAGTCTCATCCGTTTATGCATTTGGAATCCTCAGGGCCTCTGTTGCTGTGAGAGCTTTGAGCCACCCGGGGGCCCAGCTGCCGAGCTGCCGCACCCCCACGAGGACTTGGAGAACCGCACTGCTGCCGATTGGGCCCAGCTCACAGGGCAGCAGTTGGCCTTTGGTTTCCTCCTAGGCATCCATCCCACGTCGTTGGATGAGACACAGGAGGCGGGGCAGAGCGGAGTACCATGCTTGACCCGCAAACTTGTATCAAACACAAACTTTGTAACATCATGTGGTTTTCCCATGTTTTCCCCATGGTCGGACGCGGTGGTTTTTGTTGTGTCCGGTCGTTCTGAACCGAGACACCGGTCGCCAGCCACCAGCCATCCAGTCGCTCGGTGTGACCGAAGCGCCTGGAGAAGTGATCGGAGTGATTGGAGTGAACGAGTAGCAAAGGACAAATGATGACAAGTGAAGCGTATCCGGCGTATCCTGCAAACCCTAGTGGCCCTAGTAGAAACTATAGACTATTACAGACTGTAGATTTTGGAGTCACCCTTAAATGACAAGTGTGTTTTCTCGTTTTCACATGTTTTCACGGACATGTTTACACAAGTGATTTGTGCGATGAGTCAGTGGCTGGTGTGGAGTGCCCTGGGGCTCCCCAAAAAGGGGACGCGGACATCAATAACTTCATGTGTATGTATGCCACTGTGTGGTATGCCACTGCCACCCCTCCTCAGGAGGCTTACAACATGAGCCGCTTGCATGCCGCAGTGGCCAAGAATAACCTCACAGAGATCCGTCGACTGCTAGAGAGCAACGAATCTGAGAAGCTTTTGGAAGACTTGGACGCTTGGGGAAGAACGCCTCTGATCGCTTCGCTCCAATTTCCTTGTCGCCATGGCTCTGCTGCAGCGGAGTTGCTTCTGGAGGTCATCAGTAACAATAGCGAGACCACCCCGTGGAGCACGAAAACCGGCATGACGCGACGGTCCTTGGGTCCTGACCAGGACGGCCGTGACCCCCTTCATTGGGCAGCGCTGGCAGGGTATCATGAACTGGTGCAGATCTGCTTGAAGCTCATCGAGAACCGCGAGCCCGACCGGTGGGGGCGGCACTTGATCCACCATGCCGCTGTAAATGGCCATGTGGAAGTGCTCGAACCCAGGCTGAATTAGACGCCTTAGTTGGCTACCAGATTCCTGAAGACCATTCCCTATCATTTGCGCAGGGAGTGGTGGTTGTTGGGTTGTTCAAAGTTGTTGAAGTTGGTAGCACCTAGTCACTAGTCATTCCCTCCTGCCACCGTGCACTTCATACCCAACTTGCATGCATCCTTTGACGCTTTGGGGTTCCAGACAGGTGTTTTTTCAGATGTGGTCTGTCGTTGTGCACACTGAAGCTTGCAATTATGTTGGTTGCGAACTGGGGCGGGCGGCTGTCGAGGGATTCAAACAGAGGTGCCTCCTTGTATGAAGAATATGACCACCATGGAAACAAACAAACAATCAAACATCACTATCAGTATTAGGTTGAAGGCCATTGCTAGTAGGTTGGAGGCCAGCGCGATTAGGTCTGAGGCCATCGCTATTAATATATCTATTAATTATTTAGGTTGGAGGCCATTGCTTCTATGTAGGGGGGCAGGGTAACAATCCAACAATTACGCCCACATTGGCGGCACTGGGGCTGTTGATCTCCAGACTCCAGACTTTGTGATGATCGGAGGGCCTCGATCCGAAGGCGACTTGCCAGTTGCAAGGGCATCCAGAGACTCGAAGTAGGCAAAGTGAGACCTGGGACATTTGGACAGCTCCTTCCCTACTTTGGCTGCTGTAGTTGCAACTAGGACCAGAACCAAGTGGGCAGAGAATAACAGAAGACTCCACCTAAAGACACCCGCTGCAGGGAAGAGATATTTTAGGTCTCTACGGTCAGGAGATTGTCCTGCAAGCTGCAAGCCAGTCGAGACCGGAAAAACAGAGGTTCACATGGACGACCTAGGACCTAGGGTCGACCGGACGGGGCATGGCAGTGTAGATCAGTGTAGTCGCCCGCACCCACGCACGCTCGAGATTGGTGTATGTACGGCCGGAATGCCGCAAGCCCAAGCGAAACTACTGTAAGTAGAAATGGGAGAGCTAAGTAGCACAGCGGAGTCCAACCACTTCCAAAGAACGTTCAATCAGGGCGGAAGGCCTGTTTTTGAGCGAGACGACAGAACCACGAACAATTTGTAGCATGCAGGAGTATATAGTGAAACAAAAGAAAACACATGAAAAAACAAGTTTGACAAGTTTGCCATAGTCTGCCAAGGACTTTGCCTCCAGATTTCCACACCCGAGCGAAGCGGTCTGGAGGTGGTTTAGCATCCCCAAGCCTTCCTGCCTTCCTGTAAGCTCGCGTTCTTGTCAGAAGCCGAAAACAAAAGGGACCATGTCATGTTGCGACAACAAGCGGTTTCCATTGCGCTTGTTCTCAGCGCCCCTTCACACTCAAGTGCATGGACAGCACCGAGGGCATTTCTACCCTCTCCCAAGCCATCGTCACAGAACAAGAAAGCCAGGCTGTGCTTTTATGGCATTCTTCACCTATAGAGTCCATCGTACGCATGCAAAAACAGCCATTCCTTGTATACATCCTTTTACAGATTGCTGTCGCCCAACCACATATTTGGGATGAGCTCCTCGCCCATCAAAAAGATTGTCACGATCAACTGGCATGGGAGCTTTCCGTGGTATCAATTCTTTCCAATCCACCCACACCATGCATTCTCTGACAGACGTTATCCAACCCTTCCTCTGCAAGATGCCTCGAACTTCTTTGTAAATATCTATATCTAATTATATAAGAATCTGGTGCGTGGCAAAGCCAAGCCTCAGGATGCCCCGCCAAAAGCATCCAAAAGCCAAGAGCACTTCCCCCCCTCTTCCGCGACGCCTGAGGATCTCCTCTTGGACACGAAGGTGGCCGAGGTCGACAGCTCCGCCGTGTTCTCTCAAGAGACGGCTCTCCACCTAGCAGCGAAGGCTGGACACCAAGATGTGGTGACAAAGCTTTTGTTGCGTGGGGCACCGTTGGATGCAGAAGATCGTTTGCTCAGACGCTCAGACATTGTGAAGAGTGGAGGTTCCCCCCCATGCACCAAGGGGATACGGAGTTGGTTTATGGATGTTTATGGGTAGTTTGCGCTGGGAACAGCTTGCTACTGCCTGCGTTGTGGGAGCGTCATTCTGGCTGTGAAGAATCGAGTCGTCACGTTCACAGCCATACCATGGGCCACCTGGAGTGGATGTTTGAAACGTTCGGGTTGCGACGTCCTTTGTGAGGTTCTTGCAGTGTGAATGGTCGGGTGGTCCTGCCGGTGGCGTTTTAGAATGTTTTAGAGCTCCCGTTGGAGAACCTACAGTAGTTGCCAGGTTAAGAGGGCGAATTTATAGGCTCGCCTTGGTTCGTCTTCTTTGGGCGTAGAGAGGTCCAAAGCTTGGAACGATTCTCCCAATGCACGGATGTGGACTGTCTGAAACAGACCACAGCTGAAACAAAGGACAGCCCTTGCACTACGCCATCCTGTTGGGGCATACGGAGATCTCCAATGCACTCCTCAAGGCGAAAGGATGGGGCGCAAGGACGAGGCGACGCCTCATTCGAAGATGAATCACCACCCCGGGTTTACGAGGTTTGGAGAACCCATCCCCCCTGAAGACTAAACTGACTCAATCTCTTCATGAGGTCCCTAGGGACGAATGATTGGATCACGGAAACCTTCTGAAGCTTGAAGCTGGCCCCCCTCAGCAGTGCAGAAACTCTTTCTGGGCCAAGGCCCAAGTACATTTGAGGCATTTGGAGTTTGAGAAGAAAGGAACAGTAAGTAATTGATAAGACAATGGGACCATTGGAGGAGGGATTGGATGAAGTTAAAAGTTAGATAAAGGGATGAGCAAATGGAACATGATCAGGTTGGTCTTGCAGACACATTTAGTAACTCAATCCTAAATTGGATGTTGTCAAATTGTCCCAACCTGTCATACGGACGAGGGAGTGATATCCACCATGCTATACATTGGTTGAACAGATGCAGAGTATACAAAGGGAACGATCGGAATCGAGACAGGGCATTGCATGGGATCCAGTGATTGATGGGATCGGTTTGACTTGATTGATACGTGTTGCAGTTGGGATCCTGAATGATTGACATGTAGCACTCAGTTTTCAGCGACCCAACAGTATGACAGTATGCACAAGATGAGAGAGTGTTGAGGCTGGGGCTGATGGAATGGAGAAGGACATGGATGGCTTCAGCCCTTTGTCCTTCGCGTCAGCGGCCTTGGGTTCCGGTGACCATAATCATGACTATCACGACTTTCCTACTCGTAGCTGATTGCTCCAAAGGCTGCAGTCGAGTTGCAAGCTTCAATTCGCAAAGCGCCCTGCTCGCGGCCCTGGGTGGCATTGCAAAACAAGGAGCTGCGTGTTGCCGATGCTGCGTCAAAGCAGGTGTTGGACGGAAAGTCTTATATATACAATTATATATTGGTGGGTAGAAGTGGTCTTGGTTGCACCACGTTTTTCCACCTGTTTCTGCACAAAGTCTGTCTACCTTCGACCCCAGATGCGGCGAACGTGTGCACATGGTGTCCGCTCGCTCAAAGGCCGAGTCCGATGAAGATGCCAAGCTCGCTGAAGAGGCCCGGCTCGCGGCTCGTGGCACCCGATGCGGTGGCCGTCACACGGCCGCCTGGGATATCCCCCGTTGCATCCCGTGGCCATCGAACCCTCGAACCGCCAAAGTCACGGTCCAAATAGTGCGGTAGTTACTTGGCTAGTCTGGCGAATCATGACAAAAATAGGCTGGGCTGCACCGTGGGTTAGAATAGGTATGGAATGGTATATGGATATTATCAGGTTGTGTGTTACAGCCGGCTCTTTGGCTGGCTCTGATGTGGCATCGAAAGCAGTTGACGATAACAATTCGTAAGACTCACAGACTCACAGATGACTACCGTCATCAATTAGATGCTGACAGAACCAGTTCATGGAACATTGTGTTCCCAACCTTCACTATCTCAGCACGCATAGGCTGCGTGACGTTTCTATCGCGATGGCCCGCCACCCACAATATTGGCTCAAATTATATCTATATATAGGTGTTTGGAAATAGTGGATCCGAGCAACTGAATCTAAATGCTTGCAAGATTCAATCAGTTGAGATATGCAAGATTAAACCTTGAGGATCCAATCTATTCTGCCAGCTTGTGCCGCAACATCAGTGCTCTAGAATCATGTATTTCCCAATTTTCCCACCCATCTTCCTGCTGCGGCTGCGACTTCCCGTACTCTCGTCTTCAAACTCATTGTAAAAATATCAACAAAAATCGAAAGCCAACTCCTTTCATCCCCTCTCCATTCTCACCATTTCCCACTCCCCGAAGCCTGAGAGCTTGGCGGTTCCCATGAAGAACGGCCAACATGCTGTGCATGCGGCGTTTCCGGCGGCCGCGGCGTTTACTGCGTGCCTACTCGCCGCAGTGCAGCTTAAGCTTCAAGGATGCAGGTGTGGCGCAGCTGGAAGTTGACGGGTGATTACTGGTAATTTGTGTGTAGGCGGGCCGGTATGGATTGGTCACTGTGGCCCTATGCAGGCATCCGAGCCTATGTGGATGGCCAGCTTTGTGGCTTCTCCGCCAGCCTGAAGCAGTCGCTCTTTGATTTCCAGGCCAAGACTTCTAAGAAAAGACCAGCGTCTAGCGGGCTACCGGCAAGTTTGGCGGTTCAGTTTCAGGGGTTCGCATCCTCGACCTGAGGGTCAACCAAACCTGCAATTTTTGAAGTCTCCAGTCGGTCAATGGATTGCCGTCGCATGATCGACTCCAAGACTACCAGGTACTTGCGCAATTACCAAGATCTACTAAGTGTACTGATCAACAATGAAAGGTCGCCAATGATCAGCTTTCTAAGCTTAGCATGATTAGCCAATACCTACTGGCACCACGTCATGGCTAAACCTGAGAGATGGTTCAATGCCGCAGGTGCATGAGATCGACCCTGATGGACATGAACTGCACCTTCTGGATGACGAGGGGCGACGCTTGGTGAACATCTTGGGGAGTCACGAACGGATTCCACTGTGATTTCTAGCTCTCAGTTCCATTTTTTGGAGACAAGATTTGCTTTGGACGGGATTGCTTAGGCCATCTTGCACAAGCTTTGTTGTTAGACCAACGTGGCCTTGGCAATCACAAACGGCCTCGTTTGGACGAGTTCTGAGATTTAACTTCCTCTCTGAGTCAAACATGCACGCTCGGAACGCACCGTATACCCGCTTCGGGTGGCACAGTCTACGCGCCAGTGTCCGAACGCGCTTCGGCGTTGGGAGAAGCACTTCGATGAACGCACGGGGGTGTGAGACACTTTGGATAAGAACCATGAGAACGGCACCAGTCACACCCATCCATGGGGCCAAGTGGATTTACAACCACGCTGGTGCACACTGGTGAGGAGAATGTCGGCATCCAGCTGTACTGTGGCATGTCGTTGTTTTCCATTCTTTGGCACACTGGTTCGCTGTGGTCCTCGACTAGGAAGGTAGACATGCGCAAGTCAAAACCGGCACAAGTTTGAAGTGCTCTCTGATCAATTTGGGTTTGTCAAAGGAAGTTTAGAGGAACTTCCATGTGCAGATTTCGTGGCAGGCACAGCACTTTGTACCTCCATGTGCAGATTTCGTGGCAGGTGCAGTACTTTGTGAACCTTCATGTGCAGATTTCGTGGCAGGCACAGCATTTTGTGAACCTCCATGCTTCTCCGAACCTCGACGGGGAAGCTCCGCGGAACGAC